ACTAAGAGACCAACTGAGAATGTAAGAACTAAGATCAGGAGCAAGCAATTCAGTCCCTTGTGCCTATTCTGCCATTCAACATGATTATGGCTGATCTCATCCTGGCCTGAATTCCACTTTCCTGCCTTCTCCCCATAATTCTTCAACCCATTACGTTACTGATTAAAAATCTGTTGAACTCCTGCTTAAATTTACACAATGTCTCAGCATCCACCTCAATCTGGGATACTGAATTCCTCAAATTCATAACAGTTTCAAAAAAAAAGTAATTTCTCCTCATTTTGGTTTTAAATCTGCTACTCCTTACCCTAAAATTATGACCTCTCATTCTAGACTGCCCCACAAGAGGAAATATCCTCTCTAAAGCTGGTTTGCCATCTTTAGCACCCCTTAGCATCTTAAATACTTCAATTAGATCTCCTCCCATTCTTCTAACTCCAGAGAGTACAGATGTAAACTGCTCAACCTCTATTCATAAGACAAACCCTTCACCTCCGGAATCAATCTAATGAGTCTCCTCTGAACTGACTCCAATGCAACTACTCCCCTCAAGTAAGGGGGATCAAAGTTGTACATAATGCTCCATATACAGTCTCACTAATATCTTGTGCAGGTGCAGAAAGACTTCCCTATCTTTCTACTCTATCCCTTAGCAATGAATGCCAAAATTCCATTTGCTTTATTACCTGCTTTATCTGTGTAATATCTACAAGGACACCCAGAGCCCTCAACATCAAAAAACACTGTGAAGTTTCTCTAAATTTGGGCAACAAGTTGCCTTTCTATTCTTCCAATCAAAATGGATTACTTCACATTTATTCAATTTAAACTCCACTTGCTAAACTTTGGCCCATTCACCGAAGCTATTCGTACCCATTTGTACATTTCTTATTATACGAACTTAGTGTTCCATTCAATCTAGTGTCATCTGCAAAATTGGCTACTGTACCTTCTATCCCTACATTCAAGTCATTAATGTAGACTGTGAATAGTTGGGTCTGAGGACTAAAATCAGTGACACTGCATCAGTTGCATATTGCCAAACAAAGACCCATTTATCCCAAGTCTGCTTTCTGTTTGTTAGTCAATTCTGTATCCAAACTAATAAAATATCCCTAACCCCATATGATCTTACCTTGTGTATGGCACCTTATCAAATGCCTTCTGGAAGTCCAGATATACATCTACAGGATTCCTATTATCAGCTTTACTTGTTATATCTCCAAGGATTGCTAGCAAATTAATAAACGACACAATTTACCCTTCGTAAAATCATGCTAACCCGGATGGATTTTTCTGAATTTCTCAATATCCTGTCATTACTTCCTTAATAATGGATTCTAGCAATTTCTTAATGACCGAAGTTAACTAACTTGACTATAGTTTCCTACTTTCTGCCTCCCTTTTTGAACAAGGGCTTTATATTCACATTTTCCTAATCCACTGGGACCTTTCCCGCTTTCAGGGAATTTTGGAATATTATTATAACCAGTGGATCCACTACCTCTGCTGCCACTTCCTTTACGACTCTGGGGTGTAGGCCATCAGGATTTGACTACTTTCAATCCCAATAGTTTGCTCAGTACTTTCCCCCCCCCCCGGTAAGAATGATTGTTCTAAGTTTCACCCTTTCTCGGACCTCTGCATTACCTGTTGCCTATTGGAATGGTACCAGTGTCGTTCACTGTGAATGAAAGCAAAATATTGATTTAGTGCCTCTGCCATTTCGGTATTTCTGGATATTAACTCCTCATTCTCATCCTCCAATGGACCAACATTCACTTTAACTACTTCATTTCCTTTTATATACTTATAGAAACTTGAACAATCCATGTTTAAATTTGCACTAGTTTTCTTTCATAACTTACCTTTGTTCTTTTTATTACTTTTTTAGTTACCCTTTGTTGATCTTAAAAAATATCCCAATCTTCCAGCTTGGAACTGGCCTTTGCAATATGATATGCCTTAGTTTTTGAAGGACAATTTCATCTGGAGTACTCTTACATATATCCAAGCAGATCAGTCATTGCACTGCACCAAACCAAAACAATGCGAGTAGGTTAATTGTGACAGACTGCAAAGCTGGGAAATGAAAGACAACACCGGACTTATTTTTTTCCCTCGGTATTGGTCGAGAAGAATTATTTCATTTCATTACATGAATGTAAGTGGGATCTTAAGAGTATTTCAATTGACTTTCTACACTGCTGTATAGAACTCTCCAAATTTTCTGTGTCAGTTTGGTTAGTGATCCTGTTTACATAAACACATTTAAGTAATCGAGTGGATGAATTTGTGCTGAATGATGTGTCCACTGTCAAATCATTTCATCTTGATGTTTATACAGCGTGTTGTCATCTGGAAAACATTTCACTAGAATCACCAAGCCAAATGTTGTTTGTGTTTGATGGAGTTTTAGCGTGTTGAAAAACGTTTTTGGTAGCTTAATGACACCTCAAAGGAAAGCAGAAAATTTAAGAAGACAAGGAGCCTTTGTTCCTGATCAAATGAAAGTTTCTGCATCAGTGGAATTAAGCAGAATGAGTGGAAGTATGGAATTTTGGCATCTTAGAGCTCCCTCCCTAATAGCAATGTGGGTCTACCTACAGTGCATGGATTGCAGCAGTTCAAGAAGGCAGCACACCAACACCTCACAGGCAACTAGGGGCAAGCAATAAATGCGACACCCACATCTCATGAGTGAACAAGAAAGTGTTTCTAAAAACTGCTCAATTAAAAAAAAAAAATTTTTTTTAATGCATAGGAGACTGAGGGGGGGGTCTTATAGAAATGTATAAGATCATAAGAGGTACAGATAGGGTGAATGCACTCAATCTTTTTCCCAGGTTTGGGGAATCAAGGACGACACAACACCAGTTTCAGGTAAAAGGGAAAAGAACACATGGGAACATGAGGGATAACTTTTTTTTACACAGAGGATAATATGCAGATGGAATGAGCTGCTAGTGGAAGTAGTTGAGGCTGGTACATTAACGACATTTAAAAGACATTTGGACAAATACATGTATAGGAAAGATTTAGAAGGATATGGGCCAAGCACAGGGAAATAAGGTTAGCATGGGTGGATATTTTGGTTGTCACGGACTAATTTGGGCCGAAGAAGGGCCCATCTCCATGCTGTAGGACTCAACGACTCCATGACTCTAATGTGATGCTGATAAAAGACAAGTCAAAGCTTTATGTCTTGCACTCTCAGGACAATTCACAAGACAACCAACTTTAAAGGGGAAAACCAGAATTTATCCTGTATGAGGTTACTTGGTTGGGAAGTAGACTCTGATTGGTGAAGGACTGGACATGGAGAATGCACTAATTAACGGCAACCGATAGTTAACTGTCAAGCTTTATTTATATTTTTAAACGAGTCAAGTCGACTCTGATTAGTCAAGGCATTACCCAGAGAATAAATCTACAAATGATCGTCACCGATTTTGTTGAGTTGAATCAGGTTCAACATATAAGCGTGTTCTGTCTGGAAAGAACACAGCTCTGGCAATTAATACACGTAGTTTTCAATGTGTGTAAGTGCATCACACTGCAAGGCTAAGTGACAACCCAAATTGATTGTCAGTCATCATTCTTCTCACACACCGGACAACATTTACTGGATAATCCTAAGAGAATCATATCTCATGTTACATACTATGTTGGGGGTTTTACAAGTGTAACATGGCAATTGGATGTGAATAATAAGTTGTCAGTCAGCTTGGAAAGACAATGGAACTGAACTCTGAGAAAACACATTGAACTATATTTCCACAGTTGCTTTTCAGCAACAAGGCAGAAACAGGAAAAACAGAATTGTAAACAGATCTGGAAGAATCTCCTTCTTTCCTTGCCTGTCTTTCTCATCATCTCAGTAACCCCACCTGGTGAAAGAGCACTTGGAAAAACTACCATTCACCAAGACTCTCAAATGTCTACAGATTCTGCTACTGCTACAGGTCAAAACCAATCAACAGTAATCTCAAGTTTAAAATCTAATACCTCTAAGTACTCTTAAACAGCAAAGCTTTATTTCTCCATCTATATCATTCTCCCTTTTAAACATAATACCTGATTTTTGTGTGTGTCGTTTTCTTTATGTTTTTGTTATTATCTACAGAACTGAGAAATAAAGTTCCTCATTCTTTCAAAAAGACACAGTAATTGACTCCTTTGTTTTCTAGCAAACTACATTTTAATTGAAGTTTGACAGCTGCATTCTAAAAAAGACATTGCCCTATTATAGGAAGGATATTATTAAGCTGGAGAGGGTTTCAGAAAAGATTTACCAGAATGTTGCCTGGAATGAACGGTTTAAGGGATAGGCTGGGACTTTTTTCACTGGAGCGTAGGAGATTGAGGGGTGATCTTGTAGAGGTTTATAAGATCAGAGGTTTGGATAAGGCAAATGACAGATGTCTTTTCCCTAGGCTCAGGAATATCAAGACTAGGGGGCAACTTTCTTTACACAGGGAGAGGTTCATGTGTCGAATGAACTTCCAGTGGAAGTGGTGCATGTGGGTACAGTTACACATTTAAAAGACATTTGGAAAGGTACATGAATAAGAAATGGTTGGAGGGATACAGGCTAAGCACAGGCAGGTGAAACTAATTTAGGTTGGGATTATGGTCGGCATCGACTGGTTGCACGAAAAGGGTCTGTTTCCATGCTGTATGACTATGATTTGAAATGTTTTTTAAAAATTATTGCAACTAATCAGAAGGTTAAAAAAGATCGCCAGTTCAGCCTCCTCATCTGGTTATAACAAAGTGAAGTAATATCCAAAATGCCAAAGTTCAGGTTCACGAATTTGTTTTGAAACATTAAGAACTACTTCATGCATGATTGAAGAGCTCTTTTTAATTCCATAATCCAAGACATCGCAGGTAATGTGGCCACTCGGTTGCTAATAGCAAATCAAAGTTTCACTGATGCTTATTTTGATTGACTTACTGTAAACAGCAGCACCTGAAGAGGAGGTTAGAACACCTACCATATGTGCCTCTGTTGTTACACTTAGCCTGCAACCGTGGGAGCTCCTTTACTCTCAAAGGAGTTTCCTACAACATTACATAATACTTTGAGTCTTACAGACTGCGGTGGTTTGTTTTTAACCTTTGGTGCTGCTGATCCAGTTCTGAAATTGTATCTGAAATACAGTCTCTGCATAGCATTGACCACACCCTCTTTCTTCGCGCATTTTCTGTTGGGCGACTGTGTGTATTTTTAGTTCGCTACTCTGTAAAGACCTCAAATTAACAGTGACCTATTAATCATTATGGCTGACTGATTTTTTTTTAAAGCTTGTTGCATTCCCTTTTACAGGCTTTTCCTCTGCCTCAACAGCACTGAATGTGGGTTTTATGCTCCAGTGAATTGCTTAGACTTGAAGTCTATCAGATGCTGCATCACACTGTAGCTGGGCTTCTCTTCACAGGCTTTCTTCCCCTCCTACAGTGGGATTGCTGGACTGACTTCATCCTTCACCAGCCACATTATACTGACTACAGTTAGGACTTCACTTCAGACAGTCACTTATTGTTTTTCTCTGCCACCATGTAATAAGGTCAGGTTTGTATTGTTGATAGAAGATAGTCCTTACCTATATCAGTGAACATCAACAACCTTTACTAAGTATTGACTATACACAAGAGACGGTAAGAGAAGACCTCTCTGGAACCCTACAACTTTGCATGGGATCTGAAGGTATTACGATACTGTTGCTTACTCATAGCATCAGTAAATATTGTTAGAGTGAAAGTATAAATAACTGTTTATTCTGCATTCCAGTCTTTCAAGTCTCAAAAAAAGAGAGATTGGTAAAGCTTCAGCTCTATAGTTTTGAAACGACCTGTCCGATAAGTTAAATTATAAAGGGACACAGGATTCATGAAACAGTATGGGAAAGGTCAATCCAGAAAATTACTTTCAATTAACTAAAAATAGAACAAAGGGTTGCTGGTTTAAAGTAGCAAACGGTACATTTAGGATTGATATCAAATACACTGGAGTAATTTAAGAACTATTTTAATGCTGCAGCAAGAAGATGTTTTATGATTTCTCCAGATGGGTTAGTTAAAGTGAGCTGAATATATCATATATTATTCACCTATAGTTACAGTGCAGTCATGAGGATAAATCAGAACCATACTGAAATTCATCTCCATCAACATTGCATCAACCTCTTCAAGTTCTTAAAAACTGAATTTCCTAAAATCCTGACCATAATGTCAATCTTCACATACATTTTAAAAAAATTAATGAAGGAAGTTCAGAAAGTATGTCTTCTCTATCATCTCTTGTGACATCAAAGGACGCATCAACATTTTTCTGGCTACATTAAACCATGGAAAAGTTATAGCACAGGAACAAGCCACTCTGCCCATTGTGTCTAAGTCAGCTGAATAAACTAGCTGCAAATTCTAAACCCACACACTATCTCCTGGTTCCATACCCCTGCAGGTTAGAGTGCTTGAGTTGAAGATCTAGATTCCTTCTAAACAAGTTGAGGGTTTTACTACCAAAACTGGGCAACAAATTCCAGGCATCCATCGCTGTCTGAGTGGGAAAGATTTTTGTTGTCTTCTATAATCCTGTTGAACATCACTGAAAACTGCTTTCTGTTAGCAAATTCACCTGTAAACCATTACCCTTTGTTTCCTGTCACTGAGTCAATTTTTGATCCAGTTCGGTACATTCCCCTATAATTTAATTTTTCTTAATAATCTGCCACTTGGGACACTGTCAAACGCCTTTCTAAAATCCATGTAGCAGCCAGTGCACTAGCCTCATCAATCCTCCTTGTTACTTGCTCAAAAATTTCAATTAAGTTAGTAAAACACACCCTTCCCTTAACAAAACATGATGACTATCCCCAATTAATCCATTCCTCTCTAAGTAACAGCTAGTCTTATCTCTCAACATAGGATTAGGCCAAATAGCAGGCTAATTTGTCAGACATATCACTCCCACCTTTTTGGAATAATAGTATAATGTTATATGAAAATCATTCAAACACATATCAGCTGAGAAAGATTAATTTTCGTTTTCTTCCATCCTACCAAGACATAAAATCATCACACACCACATAACATGAAACTTACCCTAAATTGAAAAACATAGGATACTGGATGTTTCAAAAGCAACCAAAAACTTATAAAACGCTACTGAAAAGTCAATTGTATTATCTCACCCCAAACAAAGTGAAATAGAGCTTACCTTGAGAACTGCAGAAAATGAAAAACTGACAATTACTTAAATATTGGCATGGAAAACTAGGCACACTTGCAATAAAGTAGTAAAATAGTTGCAATGGTGCTTTTAAGTAGGCGTAGTTCCTGACACAATCCTCCAAAACAACTAGGAAAAGGTGAAACATTGACCTTTACTCATAGTTTATGCCACACGCACACACACATGTCCAAATTAGATAGAATTCCTGTTGAAACAATTCTGAAAACTTATTTTCAGGAAACATTCCTCCATATCGAAACATGGCAAATGCATCACATTATTAGCAATAAAATAGGTGTAAAGAAAATCAATTATAGTTTACACATAACAGTCATGCATTTCTCAGGAAATTTAATAATTCTCCAAGTTCATTGACTAGCAATGATTTTATAGTGTAAAATGTGACCGCACTCTTAGTATTGCGAATTTTCTTAGTCCAGACACATTAGATAGTAAGCAGCAAAGTGGAAGAAGCCACAAAAAGACTTAACGAGAAATTTAGTGTGCAAGAAGAAGCAATTTAGCAGAACCGGTCACCATGTTAAAAACTAATCCAATAGTACAGCTGGTTTATATGGGTTACTGAATAAAGGTCACAATCCATATAATTTGTACCTATTTTATCTTACACCTTTGTGGGAAGGTATTCAGTACAGAGCATATCCAGATCGTTCATTGAATATTTTTGTCTTCAACAATCCCTGCTATACATGAAACAAAAACAGTTTTCACTTGATACACTAACCTGGATTTAACTTTAAAAACTGAGGGCATCAGTGCACACTGTTATTAAAGAGTAAATATGACAGAAATTTCTAGCGTCACCACATATGCAAACAAACGTGGAAATAAGAAAGTTGGTATCTAGAAACTCTGCCATCCCAATATCTTACTGACACATAGAAAAGACCAGAAAATGCACAGTTTGTCCACGAGCTACCTACCAAACATGCCAGAAAACATTATGGCTTGCCATTCCAGTTTAAGCAAATTTTCTAAATGATCTTTTAAGTCATAATTGCTATCAAACAATTTCAGCACTGAGAATTAAACTAGTATGAAGACTTCCAGATTAATTACTGTTGGTAACTTCTACAAATAAGAAAAATTAAAAAAAATTTCTGTCTTACTTCTATCTCTGTTCTTTCATCCAATCTTTCTCTTGATTTCGCTTTCATTACTTGATTTGTCATTGTATTCACTATTCAAGTTTACACTTCATAGCTCAGGCTCTGCGCACCTTAGTATCAATTCTTCAGAAGAGAAACACAGTTGCTTATTCTGTTCACATGAATGCCCAATCAAAGGCACAATGCTGAAATAGAACTCTAACAGCACATTACAGTGCAAAAGCCCATAGTCTGTGGGGATGATGCCACTGATTGCACAATTCAGGAAATTAAAGTAGCACATCAGTATAGCTGAATGAAACACTGTACAAGTTGGTTAAATTGGGCATAGAGCAATGTAGACAACTTTGGCTTTTCATTTTAGATTCATAATGATGCAGAAAGATTCAGCCCATCATGTTCATGCCATCTTTCCACTGAGAAATCCAGTCAGCCCCATTCCCTTATTCTATTGCCTTAGCCATACAAGTTTGTTCTCTTTAAAAAGTCCATCTGGTTTTATTTTTAAATGGCTTCACCACCCTTGTAGGCAGGCAGTTCCAGATCATTCCTACTTGCTGAAAGAAAGGCATCTAGCCGTTTTTATTAAGGGTATGTTTAAACAGGCTTAAATTGTAAAAGTGGGGAAGCAGTAGTCAGTACTTTCGGTTCATTAAACTATTAGTTTTGTCATCAATGCTTTTTGATTATATGAAAATGATACGAAGCATTCAAATTTTGTAATACAATAAGCACATTCCTGATGGGTAGTTGTTCTGCATTCATGTTTAATCTAAGAATTATAAAAATGCTTCTTTTTATACAATCATACTGACATAAATGTAACTATATTTAGGAAAACCAGCTCAAAAGCTAACTTCTTTATCTGCCAAAAAATAGACTACGCAGGTACACACAAGGTTATACACAGTTACACTGTACCCATCACAGGCAAATTTATATTAACTTTCTACTATATGTTAAGCACATTTCCCCACAGAAAGAAACCTCAAAATACAAGCTTGTGATAAATTATACATCCCTTTCAATTTAAAAAAAGCAGAATCAAAGCCTTACAACAAATACCTTTACTGAAGATCATCTTCATCTGCCTTAAAAATGTACACACGTGCCAATAACAGCCCAACAAACAAGATGTTACTGAGTCAATTACACATTCTCCATGAGCAGTTCAAATGAAGAAAGAAAATTGAACCTCATTATACGAGGTTCTCCTCCTTGCCCTCTATATACAAGAAATCTGAACTCAAATAGGTCACTTTGCTTCCATGCAATATAAGCAATGACGTATCTTCTGCTTTAACAGAGCAGCAGGATGACTTTTCTTGAGGGAGAACTCAAATTCAGTTCAAACACTAGTGTCTATGGCTTGCTGATTCCAGCTGTGTCATGCAAGTACCTTTTGATAATTCAATACAAAATCAATAGTAAAGATAAAAGTTACTAGTTTTTCCCATTATTGCAAAATATAATCTTAAGAAGCACGAATCATTATGGATTAAGTTGCATAAGAAGCAATTTCTTATTGCTATTCAGACAGTGATGATGCCACTTGTAAAATTCAGGATGACACAGGAAACAACAGCAGGCATTGCCTGTACATTCTGTTAGAACAAAGAACAATACAGCACAGGAACAGGCTCTTCGACCCTCCAATCCTGCGCCAACACATTTTGCCCTTCCCTACTAAAACTGTCTTCGCTTGCAGGATCTGTAACCCTCTATTCCCTTCCTATTCGTGTATGCTGCTATTGTGTCTGCTTCCACCATCTCCTCTGCCAGCGCGTTCCAGACACTCAATATTCTTTGTGCAAAAACAAAATTGCCACATACATCTCTTTTAAACTATCCCCACCCCGCAACTTGAACCTGTGACCCTAATTACTGATGCCTCGACCTTGGGAAAAAGCCTTATACTTTCCACTTTATCGATGCCATTCACAATCCCAAACTTCCATCAGTTTGCCCCTCAACATCCCGTGTTCCAGAGAAAACAAGCCCAATCTATCCAACCTTTCTTCATAGCTCAAATCCCCCATACCAGGCAACATCCTGGTAAACCTTTTCCATACGCTCTCCAACGCATCCACATCCTTCTGGTAGTGTGGTGACCAGAACTGTACACAATATTCCAAGTGTGGCCTAACTGAAGTTCTATAAAACCGCAGCATAAACTTGTCTATCCTTATACTCAATGCCCCTTCCAATGAAGGCAAACATGCCATAGGCCTTTTTTACTACCTCATCTACCTGTGCTGCCACTTTCAGTCATCTGTGGACCTGAACACCCATATCGCTCTGCATATCAACATTGCTAAGGGTTCTGTCATTTGTCCAGATTAAACAGCATCTGCCATTTTTTTGCCCATGCCTCCAACTAATCTACATTCTGCTGTATACTCTGACAATCCTCTTCACTATCTGCAATTCCACCAATCTTTGTATCATCTACAAACTTACTAATTAAACGAGCTACAGTTTCCTCCAAATCATTTAAGTAGACCATGAACAGAAGATGTTCCAACACTGATCCCTGTGGAACACCACCAGTCATAGAATCATAGAATCCCTACAGTGCGGAAACAGGCCATTCAACCCTTCGAAATGTATCCCACCCAGCCCCACAACCCCTACCCTACCCCTGTAACCCTGCATTTCCCATGTCCAATCCTCCTAACCTGCATATCTTTGGACTGTGGGGAGAACCCGGAGCAGCCGGGGGAAACCCACACCAACACAGGGAGAATCAAACCTGGGTGCCTAGTGCTGTGAGGCAGTAGTACTAACCACTGAGCCAGCCACAACCCTCCATTCCAAAATGCATTCTTCCACCACTACCCCATGTCTCCTATGATGAAGCCAGTTCTGTATCCACATTGCCAGTTGACCCCTGATACCATATGACATCACCTTTTGTACCAGTCTGCCATGACGGACCTTGTCAAAGGCTTTACTGAAGTCCATGTGGACAAGATCAACAGCTTTACCTTCAATCATCTTCATCACCTCCTCAAAAAACTCAATCAAATTAGTGAGGCATAACCTCACCTGCACAAAACCATGCTGTCTATTGCAAATAAGTCCATTTGCTTCTAAATGGGTATAGATCATGTTGCTCATAAATTTTTCCAATAATTTTCATACCACCGACATGAGGCTCACAGGCCTGTAATTTTCTGGATTATCTTAAACAATGGGACAACATTTGCTATTCTCCAGTCCTCTGGAACCTTATCTGTGCCAAAGAGGATACAAAGATGTCTGTCAATGATCCAACAATCTGTTTCCTTGCCTCCCTCAATATTCTTGGATGGATCCCATCAGGACCCGTGGACGCATCTACCATAATACTTTTTTAGGATGCACAATACCTCTTTCTTTTAAATAGCAACTTGGCTCAGAAATTCGACACTCTCTTCCCCAAGATCATCCTTTACCAATTCCTTCCCTTTGGTGGATACTTACACAAAGTATTTGTTTAGGACCTCATCAATCTCATCTAGTTCCACACATAGATTCCTTCCTTTGTCCTTGAGTGGGCCAACTCTTTCCTTGGCTACCCTCTTTCTTTTTTATTTATATATAAAAAGCCTCGGGATTCTCCTTAATCCTGTTTGGTAATGACTTTTCAAGACTTTTCTTAAATAACAAGCGGGACAGAACACCAACATCTCACCGGAGGCGCACTAACGACGTTACTTAGCAGAAATGTCTGCAAACACACCGGCTCGGTAAGCAAGTCTATAACCTCATTTAATGAGGCATTTTAGCCTTCCTAATTCCTTGTTTAAGTTCCTTCCTACTTTTCTTACATATGTCAAGCGCTTCATTAGTTTCCATCCTCCGAGACTATTTTTCTTTTTGACCAAGGTCATATCATCCCAGGTCATCCAAGGTTCAGACAACTTGCCGTACCTATTCTTCATTCTTACAGGAACGTGCCACTCTCGAATTCTTACAACTGCCGCTTGAAATACTGCCACATGTATAATGTGGACTTACCCTCAAGCAGCCGCCTCCAATCAAAGTTCTCTAGTTCATGCCCATTATTGTTGTAGTTCACCTTCCCCCAATTTAACACCTTCACCTGAGCTCTGCTGTTATTATCCCTATCCGTGAGTATCTTAAAACTCATGGTATTATGGTCACCACTCCCGAAATGCTCCCCCACTAAAACTTCACTCATCTGGCCAGGCTCATTTCCCAAAATCAGGTCCAGTACAACCACTTCCCTGGTTGGACTACTTACATATATACTATGGCAAGAAACCGTCCTGAATGGTCTTGACAAGTTCTGTCCCATCCAAGCCCCTAGCACGATGTTTTTACATCTTCCCAAAATCTCTCTACATATTCTCTCCTCTATCTCCTGGCTATTGGGAGGCCTGTAATATACCCCCAGCATTGTGATTTCACCTTTCCTATTCCTCAGTTCTACTCATATTGCCTCGCTGCACAAGTTCTCTAATGTATTCCACCTCCGTACTGATGTGAGGTACTCCTTTACCACTAAGGCAACTCCCCCACCCCTTTTACATCCCTTTTTATCACAAGTGAAACATCTAAATCCTGGGACATTTAGCTGTCAATCCCCTTCTTTCAGCCAAGTCTCCATATTCGCAATAGTATCATAGCTCCAAGTACTAACTCAAGCTCTAAATTCATCTACCTTGTCTATTATATTTCTTGCACTGAAACACATACATTTCAGACCACCTTCCTTGCTCTTTTCAGCAGTGTTTCCCTGCCTGTTCTTGCTCTTAGTCATATTTGCCTTCATTTCTTCCTCTCCCTCAATTTCTGCATCTACTGCCCTACTCCACTGGTTCCCATCCCCCTGCCACTCTAGTTTAAATCCTCCCCAACCACTCTACCAAGTACCCGCAAAGGTCATCAGTCCCGGTCCTGCCCTCATGTAACCCATCCAGTTTATACAGGTCCCACCTCTCCCAGAACCAGTCTCAATGCCCCACGAAGCTGAAACCCTCTACCACTTAATCCGTAGTCTGGCAACTTCCTGATGAAGGAGCAGTGCCCCAAAAGCTTGTGATTTCAAATAAACCTGTTGGGATGATAAGCTAATGTTCTGTGACTTCTGACTTTGCCCACCCCAGTCCAACACGGGCATCTCCACATCACTAAATAGCCTTGGAAGAGTAAAAATGTTTGAAGAGGAATACTTTGTGAAATCTGATGTGCTTGGCCCATATCCCTCCAAACCCTTCATATTCATGAACTTATCCAAATGTATTTTAAATGTTGTAACTGTACCTGCGTCCACCACTTTGTCTGGCAGTACATTCCACACACGAACCGCCATCTGTGTAAAAAAAAATTGCCCCTCATGTCCTTTTCAAAATCTTTCTTTTCTCACCTTAAAAATGTTTAGTTTGGAGCTCTTCTTTCCCCCTCAAATTCCCCAGGGAGAGACCCTTGTGATTCGATGTCCCTAGATATTTCAGGCATCAGATTTCTAGTGAGCTGAACTGAAGGGTGCTTGCTTAATGAAACAGTGGAATTTCCACCAATGGAGGTGGAAATTAGCCATCCATATTGTACAGGAAGTTGTCAGAGAGACTGATGGAGTCAGAAGCTGGGGAATAGTAGTGAGGGAGACATGTAAATTCTTGGTGAATATGAGAAAAGTTATGATGAGTTTTCAGATAATGTCACTAAATGGAAGCATGCGAATAAGAAAGAAGAGGGCGTCAAATAATAAGATTCTGGCAGTAGGAGCTGTAATGGTGTAGTGCTGGAAGGGAAAGAGAAGCAATTTCAGATTATGCATTGAATACAATTAGATAAATAAAAACAAAACCAAACAAACATAGCCCCACCCCACAGGACAGCCGTACAGTGCCACTGGATGAACACGGTGTGGTCAACCATATAAAGGGCAGCACGCAAATTGAAAATGGAAGGAGAGACTGGTTACCCTTGTTACATTACACAGGATGCCACTTGTAACTGTGGTAACATCCACTTCAATACTATGGCAAGAAAGAGTGCTACCAATGAGCCAAGCTGACAGTCCTGGAGATAGTGGCCTCAAAAGTCTGCATGACTTTGTCTATAAAAGCTTCAAGGAAAACAGCACACAAGTGAAAAATGATGGGTCCGTACTACAATACTTTGTGCCCGAACAAACTTTCGCCAAAGGTACAACAGGAGACCCAGCCAATTCCCATGGAAGCTAAGGACTGGAGAGATTTATTTTTAAATCATTACGAAGACTTATTCAAGTAGAGCATAGAGGAAGAATTAGATTAAACAAGGCTGTAAAATCAATAGTTATATTCAATTGGCATATGGATTGTACCTTAAACAAATGCCAAATTTGGAGGAACATGATGGTTTGAGTAACGCCAGTAAAACGTCTGAACATTTAAATTAGTGCCTGAGCTGGAAATTTGATTCGAGCAACACAAGTCAGATCCACAGGTGTGGCAATACATAATGTCCAAGAGTATGTTGGACACTGATTCAATCATTTTTTCAAAAGAGAACTAATCTGAACTCCAAAAATATCCAATGCTGTGAGAAGGCAATGGCACTACATGAATAAGGCCTGGCACAGATACAACAGGTAAATGGCCTCCTTCATGCTGCAACCCATTCCATGATAATCTTTGTGTTTTAAAAAGACACAAAGGAAACTCAATGTTATAAGTTAACAGTTGACACAGAAGTATATTTCATGTGGCTCAAAGGTTAGCACTGCTGCCTAACAATGCCAAGGACCCAGGTTTGATTCCAACCTCAGGCAACCATCCGTGCAGCTTGCACATTCTTCACAGGTCTGTGTGGGTTCCCTCCAGGTGCTCCCGTTTCCTCTCACAGTCCAAAGATGTGGCCGTACTATATTGCCCACAGTGTCTAGGGATGTGCAGGTTAGGTGGATTAGCTATGGAAAAAGCAAGGTCACAGGGATAGGATAGGGGCACGGGACAAGATGGGCTGCTTTTCAGAGGGTCGATGTGGACTCGATAGGCTGAATGGCGTGCTTTCACACTGTAGGGATTCTATGATTCACAGTGGAGATTGGTGAGGTCAGGATGAAAGAACAGCTTGTATTATTACTCCCTTCAAATCCACTGCAAACCGAATTATCTAAACTAACTACAGCCAAGGATATGGATATTCCAATGCAACAGGGCAAGATATACCCAAGTTCACAACTGCAACTCCTTTTAGTAGTTGCCCATTGTCCCAAAGGCACCACAGGCACAGACAGCTAGCTTGAGGGTCACCAATGCACAAGTATGCAGAAAAGTAAAAAAGCAGGCTTCCATGAAGAACCACAGCTGGTATGGGGTCTGAATACACTCTATTGGTGTTGTTTTGCATCACATTCTAGCCATCTAGCCACTGAGCTAACTGATTTGCAGCGCCTTTGAGGAGAATCAACCGGCAGATGATGGCGTGATGAACAGTGAATGGCAGAACCCTTAGGAGTATTGTTATTCAGAGGGATCTGAGTGTGAAGATCTACAGATCACTGAAGGTGGTAGCACAGGGAGATAAGGTAATAACAAATGTCTATCGCATGCTTGCCTTCATTGGAAGCGGCATTGAGTATAAGGACAGGTAAGTTATGTTGCAGTTTTACAGAATTTTAATTAGGCCACACTTGGAACATTGCGTATAGGTAGTTCTGCTATAACGCGTGTTTCATGAACATGAATTGGCTATAACGCAACTGATGAATAATGGATGCTGTTTGGATAACACAAACTTTCTGTTGTACAGGTGTAGCGATTTTCAAAAGCACGAGGTCATGTAAGAGCACAATTGTCACATGTAGGAGAACTACCTATACAATTTTGGTCACCACACTAACAGAAGGATGTGGATGTTTTAGAGATGGTACAGAAAAGGTTTACCAGCATGTTGCCTGGTATGGGTGACTTTAGCTATGAAGGAAGGTTGGAAAGACTGGGTTTGTTTTCACTGCAACACAGGAGGTTGAGGTTTATAAGATTGAGAATGGTGTGGACAGAGTGGAAACTATGTGGCTTTTTCCTAGGGTGGAGGGGTCAATTATTAGGGGACAGAGGTTCAAGGTTGCAGGGGAACCTTGGGAAATGAGCAAGGCAAGGTTTTCCACACAAAGGGTTGAGAGTACTTGGAATGCTCTGCCAGAGGTTGTGGTGGAAGCAGACACAACCACAGCATTCAGGAAGCACCTGGATGAATCCATGAATAGGAAGGGAACAGAGGGACACAGATCCCATAAGTGAAGCCAGTTTTAGTATGGAAGGGCAAAATGTATCAGTGCGGGCTTGGAGGACCGAAGGCCTGTTCCTGTGCTGTTTTGTTCTTTATCTTGCTTGAATTCTGAAGCCACTGGTTAATGCAAACAATTTCAGCAAACTCATAGAAATATTTACTTATTTCTTACAGGCTGGGATTCTTTTCTCAGAACCTTCAATAGTTTAATAACTGGAGAAAGTAAAATTAGAGTGAAAGAGAGAGCACAAAACCAAGCAGAATCATCTCCTGAAGTCTCCAAAAATCAATCTGCTTCCTGCTAAAACTCAATTAGCCCAGGCTCTAAAACAAAAACAAAGTGGCTGGAAAAACTTAGCAGGTCTGGCAGCATCTGTGAAGGAAAAAACAGAGTTAATATTTGGGGTCTGATGACCGTTCCTCAGAACTGATGTTGGCTGGGAAAACATCAGTTTATATGCAGAAAACAGGGAGGTGGGTCGGGTAGGGAGTAAACGATACGATAGAGCCCAAAGAGGGAGAAGAACAGTTGGACAGACAAAGGAGTTGCTAACGATCAGGCTGGGAGGGTGAATAGTTGTTAATGGGGACTTGAACTGTGAAAGCTCAGTCTCCCCTCTCTCAGAAGACTGCATGACTTAGGGTAGGTCAGTTCATATCGAGATAGAGTAGATTAAATGGCCAGATGGTCTTTCACATCACTCTACAAACATTTTACTCTACAATGCTAGCAACAAATAGATGGGGGCAAGTATAAATGAAGATTCCACTTCCCACTATAAGTTCAAAGTAACTACTAGAACCAAGTTGCAAAATCCTATTAGCCAATTTAATGATCTTAAAACATATACATCTTAATAGGCACTTCATGGGAAATTAATAATGATACAATACGCAGTTTTCTCG